ATTTTCGCCGGACTTTATCCATTTTACGCTAATCACGCTCACACCCGAGCCACTTTATTCAACTCGCTCGTACTTATCCTCGTCGTCAAATGTTGGATCCTTAACTAATTAAATAGACGGAGTAAGCAACAATGTAAGAATATATTTCTGTTCGAGTACAATCGAAGTGACGTGCACGTTAGAAGAAGAGTGCCACGTAGCGGGAGGCAAGATGTCCTCAGATCTGTTGATGCGCGAAGTCCTGCGCCAGACGCGCTCTTACAGCTCGACCGGAGTGTGCTGCCTTTGTGGCAGCAAACCGTACTTGGATATATGTCAGTCTAATTCTTTTTTCACGGGCATCATTTTCAGGCATTGGAAAAAAATTTTAAATAACTTATTGCGAATCTCTTAAGAGCTACGATTAGACAAATGCCGATTTCTTCACACAAAGCTAGATTATTTAAATTACACGGTCACCAACGAAGGTATTGACCAACAGATTGAGGTCTTAGGGCCGGTTTCACCATCTCCAACTAATTGTAACCTTCGATTAAACTATTAAACTCACTGTTCGTCTATTTCTAAGGGGGACAGTTAGAAAAAGATGAGTTTAATCGAAGATTACAGTTAATTGAATTGGTGAAACTGGCCCTTAAAGTGATAAAGACATTTCTGACTCCGCGCGTCCGAGACGTGCTTGAAATCAGTGGGCAAGTTAGTAACTTAGCAGGCTTACACAAGCGAGTCAGCGAGCGAATATTGAAGAATCAAGATGTGAATAAGTGCACTTACGATCGTCGGCACAAAGCCTCAAAGAAATATCAGATAGGCGATAAAGTTATGATAAAGAATTTTGATTGTTCTCCGCGCGCGCGCGCGTGTGTGTGTGCGTGCGTGTGTGTGTGTGTGTGTGTGTGTGTGTGTGTGTGGTGTGTGTGGTGTGTGTGTGCGTGTGCGTGAGCGTGTGTGTGTGTTTCACCAAAGATGATACAAAAATTCAAAGAGTCGTATAAGATAGACTGCGTATTTACAAACGATCGATATGTGTTAAGAGTTGAAGTTTCAGCTCTTGCAAACCACGTATCGCGGTACATGGAAAGCGTCAGATGATATGCGATTGTGGACTCCATGTTAAGATTTGTATAATTAATCGGGGCGATTAATGGTCGGGATAGCAAAGTTGTAGGACCTGTTGGCACCGCAATGTCGAGCCGTCTTGCGTTATGATGACTGACCCGCATTTCTATTTAATTTTAATCGCGACACCTAAGCCGTCGATCACTTCGTCGGGAAATAACGGCCACTTGGCGACAATAAACGCTCTAAGACAGTTCTGACAATGCTTCAGTTCCTCACGAAAAATCCGACGAGGCGGATCGACCGGCCGCCGATGCGACCTGTATACGCCATCATTTGTATGTACTCTTTAAATTTTAAAATAAAGTTTTTTGTGTAACTCAGATCGCTTCGCTCCATTTAATTTATTATTCTCTACAATACCTAAATTTATTCCTTACAGTCACAGAAGTAACCAATAAGATACTCATCATGGCGGAATATCAATGCTATTTACTGCTGGCATAATAGTACGTTTTTCCGTTTAATCCGAAAAAATTTAAAAATCTGTGGGCCTTGCAAAATTTTTTCTGATATTATTACGTATTAAATTTTAAATATTATATTTTATTTCAATTTCCTTCGCCTTCCTATTTTCGAGTATTTCACAGTTTAACACTTAAATGCCCTGTGGGGTCCAGCGGTCCCCAGACTCTTTAGAATGAAATGTTTTCAAATGTTCTTGCCAAAAATGGAGCTTATGTTCCCATTGATAGTTGAGTGATTGACCTACCCGTTTGTACACTTAGCAGTACTCAGTTTACTTAATTTTTTATACTATGTTGAAATTGAAATTTTAACAATATAAGCATTTTATTCTCTTTTTTAAGCCTTGAACAACGTTGAAAAAAATTTAGTTATGAAAAATTTATTTTCATAACTAAAGATAAAAAAATCAATGAGTAAGGAGACATTTTTCATGCTGGGGTCTTTTAGACCCCTCATGTCATTTACGAGATTCTTGAGAGGTGTGGCATTTAAGGGTTATTAAATCGATGCCATGCAGCTAATGTATATGATGATTTTGATTGTGTTTGACAGTGGTTCTTTTAGAGCGCGTGTGAATTATACTTGCATGACCTGATGATACCGTTCGCAATAAATTGCATTTGCTAAAGTGACAAATTTAAAAAGGTTTCTGCTAATGTTGTGACTTTGGACATTGCAGACATAGATATACATAATAGACTGAACATTGCCATTAGAGAGCTGTAGGGAAGATCTAAAGGACAGAGATGTGCTTGCTGGGACGCTTTTCTTGTCTAATTGTGTAGTTGGTGGGGAGAAAAAAAGTGGGAAAACAAGGAAAGCATTCCAGCATCTGTTGTGCCCGTAGTCGTGAAGGAGGTCGGGATGTAGGCGCCCAAAGGATTAAGATCCACGCACTAATAAACAACACTTTGTACTTTACAGTAAAAGAGGATGTATTTGCTCTCACTTTATTACAAGAGGTTTAGTAACTTAACACGCGTTAGTGCTGATCTACAACCTTGCTTTAAAGGGTATTTAAGCTCTAAGCCGTAAGAAATTGCCCAATCACAATCGAGTATTCTCCTCACATTCCATTGTGATTGGTCAATTTCTTACGGCTTAAAGCTTAAATATCCTTTAAAGCAAGGTTGTAGACCAACACTTAAGGATGCGCGGTTACTCTCAGAAGCGATTTGTCTGATCCTGTCGCTATTGACATATATATTCATTTCATTAAGGCGGAAGGAGTGCCCGGTGACCCCGATCGGAGCACGTACGCTGCTCCGTATCTGTTCCGCGCGACTCTGCCACTGTCTCAGCATTCTGGGAACAGAACTGTGACCCGCTTTCTTCTCGTCACATTCCTCTTTTATAACGATGCGCTCCAGAAACGCATTGCTTCCCGGCGACCACCGGTCCGGTGCCGCTCGAACAAACACCAGTCGGGCAAAGACAGGGCGCGGTACGCCCACATCCTTTTTAGGCCCCGTTTCACAAGTGTCGGTTAACTTTTAACCTTAAATTAACTCACTCTTCGTCTCCTTCTAACGTTCTCCTTAGAAAAAGACGAAGAATGAGTTAATCAAGGTTAAAAGTTACTTGTGAAACTGGGCCTTAATCGCTCACAAATTCGATTGTGTGCGCGAGTCATTAGTAATTAACGACTTGCAGCACCGATATCCCCTCGGAACGCCGACAAGCACCAACGGGAGCCGATTTTCGCTGAGCGCGAGAGCGCGACCGGGAATCGTAATTCCGCGCCGCTCCGTCCAGCGCGCGTCTCGCACGGAGATCGGCTATCCCCATCGAATCTATCGCTCCGGGGGGGGGGGGGATATAAAATATCGGTTCCGCGACGGTAAGACACTTCATCTCGAGACAGCTCTCCGATCCGCTGGTTCCGAGAGAAGACACCTTCCGATTCCTAGAGCGGCAGAGAAAGTGGGGTCCAGTGATCTGGTCCTCGTTCCAAGAGATCTTAGGCGCTGCTCAAATTCTGTCACACTGCCAAATCTCGGTTGCAACGTCAAAAGAGCGGGGTCAAGGCAACTTGGGCTTGGACAAGCCGTCTTGTCGCCGAAGCACCGAGAATTCCAGAATCGACCGGCCGGCCAGCTTCAACCTGACCGGCCGTTTCATTCCAACGGATTTTCCCGACCGCGTCGCCCGGGAGATACGCGTATAGATTTCGCCGCGTCAGACCGTTGTACATAGTCCGCGTATCGTAATTCTCTGCGTACCGCCTACGCGCATCGGCATACACCGCGTGTCATAATTTGATTCCCGTATACCCCCGCGTTAAACGTATAAAATAACTCCGTATGCATCCGCATATATCGCTTGTAAATTTCGCGTTCCGTTTTTTGTATTTCGCCTGTGTTAAACCCTGTCCGTAGGAAAGCCGCGTAACTCACACTTGTAATTCCGGCAACCGCGCCCGCGTTAAATATCTGTATAAAGTCTGTATCGTGTTCAATATGGATAATATGAATATTCACACTGCAGTTTCGTGTAACTTTATTTATACTTAATACAGAACAACTGTTGTTCGTGAGACTTTCGTAGATCGACTGACTGCGCTCGTACGGTTCGCTCTTATATATGCTCGGACTTCAAACGGTTTAGTCGGCGTATTGTTTATTTTCCGTCGGTTCGGGTAACAACACAACAAAGGGAACCGCGGAGTGATTGGATCGCTGTCGCGCGCCTTTAATATCTAGATCCTAAGAGCCGATCTCTTTATATGTATGCCGACAGAGAAAATAAAAAAAGCATTCAAGCATAACAAAGAATCGCCGATTAGGCATTATAGGTACGACTTTGTGTTATAACATTTTGCGTTATTTTACAATCGATCCATCCTCCCCCCGTTGAGAGGCATCGATCAACTAATTCGGAACGCATGTATACATTAGAACCGATTTTTGAAATCGCAAATGTTGGTAGAGGTCATATATATATACACATTTGATTTCGCTGTCGTGACAAGAAATGCATTATTGTATATCGCTTAGGAGTAGACACCCTGAATCGTCCCGATCATGAGTCAACGAACAACAACGCCTAGAGGTGACTCTCTGATTTATTCTAATCTTAATATAACGTATTTGATACATTAAGTCTGGGCAATGACGCTTAGGAGCAGATGCCCTGAGTCCTACCCATGAGTCAATAGACAACAACGCCTAGAAGTTAACACTCTGAGTTGCCCTGCTCATGGATTTACTGACGACAACGCCTAGAGGCTGATGCTCTGTATCGCCCGGACCTCCGGAGGTGTACGTACATATGTAGTTTTCATTAATGTTGTAATTGATATGTTAATATATATTGAAAGGTGGAGTCGTTTGAAATGTCGACACATCCCGTTATTAATGTACGCATCATTTGTAGTACGCATCACATGTTGTAATAAACCTTGCAGCAAGCAGTTATGTGTGCTCCCCTTCGATTGGCAGCGGGCACAAACATTTTGCAGCTCTTTTGAGCTCTCCAAACTTCGTTTTGACGGTGGCGGCTCGTACTATTCCGTCTTTACCTGGATGAGTCGTTATGACCCTGCCTAAGGCCCACTGTGTACAGGGTAGATTTTTGTCTTTTACAAGAACCACGGCTCCAACTTCGAGCTTCGGTCTTTCCTTGATCCATTTATTTCGGGTTTGAAGCTCGTTTAAGTACTCCAGACTCCATCGTTTCCAAAAGTCCTGTCACACCTTTGAGATATGTTGCCAGGTGGACAGTCTATTTGCTGGAACAGCGGACAAATCGCCCTCCGGAAGGGCTGTAAGTGGCTTTCCGATCAGATAATGAGCGGGGGACAACACGAGTAAGTCGTTCGGGTCAGATGATAGCGATGTAATAGGCCTAGAGTTCAGAATGCCTTCGATTTCGATGGCAAATGTGTTCAGCTCCTCGAATGTAAATAGCAAATCTCCTACGACACGCTTAAAATGGTGTTTAAAGAGTTTGATCGTGGATTCCCATAAACCTCCAAAGTGCGGCGCCATTGGAGGTATAAAATGTCACATTATGTGATATTCAATTGCAAAGTCAGATACCCGATTTTGGTGACTTTTAGAATTGAATAAAGCGTACATTTCCTTCAACTGGTTATTTGCGCCCACGAAGTTCGTACCATTGTCCGAATAGATGTGCTCCGGCCGCCCTCGTCTCGCGATAAACCTCCGTAAAGCCGCGGGAAAACCCTCCGTTGATAGATCGCTAACAACTTCGAGATGGACCGCCTTTATTGACATGCAAATAAATACGCATATGTAAACCTTTATGCGTCCTCGATTACAATGTTATTTCTCTTTCACGTAGAACGGCCCGCAGAAGTCTATGCCGATGATGGTAAATGGAATTGCTGGGCAGACGCGAACCGACGGAAGATTTCCTAATTTGTATTCGACAGTATTAGCATTAAATCGAAAACAACGCGTGCCAGCACGGACGACCTTCCGTACCTGATTGCGACCATCTAATATCCAGTATTTTTGTCGAAGGACGTATAAAGTAGTTTGAATGCCGGCGTGATGTTGTTTTTCGTGAACTTTACGAATAATCCGATCAGTCAAACTGTTTCGGCTTGGTAGTAGAATAGGATGTTTGCTCGTAAATGTCAATTTTGAACCTTGAAGGCGTCCTCCTACACGAATGAGGCCGTCATCGTCTAAAAAGGGGGTCAGATTCAATATTCTACTATTGGTTGTAAAGCTCTTATCCTTTAGCTGTCTAATTTCTTTAGAAAACTGCGTAACTTGAATAATTTTTAATAGTCGTATTTCGACTTCATTGATTTCTTTCACGCGTAGCGAACCGGAATGTGTGTTATTAGGCCGAAAACGTAAACAAAAGGCGAGAACTCGAAGTAACTTCGAATATGAAGAGCATCTTTCAAATAATTCAAGGTCATAAACTGTCGTGGCCAGACATATTTTTTCTTAACTCGGGCACTTCGGTTTTCTGTACGAATTCGTTAGGCCATTTACTATCGTTTTTGTTTAACCACATGGGCCCAGATGACCATGTGCGATTTTGTAAAAACGCGTATGGTGATTGACCTCGTGATATTGCGTCAGCCGGATTATCCTCGGATCTAACGTGTCGCCACTCCACTCCTTTCGTGAGACCTTGGATTTCCGCGACGCGAGAAGCAACAAAAGTATTAAGCAAATGTGGTGACGTTTTAAGCCAATGTAGCACGACAGTCGAATCGCACCAAAAAATTGTTTTATCGGGTATAATACTTAACGCGTCTTTCACCTCGTGGTGAAGCCTTGTTAACAATAGTGCACCGCAAAGCTCCAGTCGAGGTATCGTAACGGTCTTTAACGGCGCGACGCGGGATTTAGCACATAATAATTTGACAGTCGTGTTTCCGCGTCCATCTCCCGAACGAACGTACATACACACGCTGTAACCGATATTACTAGCGTCACAGAAACCGTGAAGTTGAACATTCTGATAGTCATCTAATAATAATTTTTGGTCGAAAGAAATTTGATTTATCACTTTAAATTGTCGAGCGAACTCTAGCCAGGTTACGTGTATGTCTTGTGGAACGGATTCGTCTCCCACTTTGCTTGACATCGCCACAAATCCTGCATTAGTTTTTTAGCGTATAACACGACGGGACTTAATAAACCCAACGGATCGAATATCTTTGAAAGCTCCGATAATATATTTCGTTTCGTCAACCGTTCTATCTTAATATTTCGAGCATAATAGCGTATTTGATCTTGCGCGTGCCACGTTATACCGAGTGTTTTTAAGGAACGATCTTTATCGAATATAAAGTTTGCGTGTAATGCACTAGTCGCGAGTCGCGAGGTCATTAATGATGCGTTCATCATTAAACGCCCATTGCCTTATGGTGAAGCCACCACGCGAGAGTAACGCAATTAACTCATTTCTGATTGCTCGGGCTTCGATAATGCTACCTGCTCCGGATAACAGATCATCTACGTATAGATGTTCCTTAAGAATTTCTGCCGCTCTAGGAGACACATGACGTTCGTCATCGGCTAATTTGAAGGACGCGAGTTGCGAGAAACGGCGAGGATGAGACACCGAATGTGAGTGTATTGAATTGAAGTATGTTTGAATTTTATTGTTCTTACGCCAAAAAATGCGTTGAAACCGTTTGTCATCCGGGTGTAGTAGCACTTGTAAGTACATTTTTTCAATGTCAGCACTGATGACAAATCTATATGTGCGGAAACGAATTAAGTGGAAAAATAATTTATTTTGTGGATCGTAGGACCCACCATAAGTATATTGTTAAGAGAGATGTTATTACTCGTTTTTGCTGACGCATCAAATACTATTCGCATCTTTGTAGTATTGCTGGATTCTTTAATTATGGCGTGATGGGGCATGTAATAACCGTCGTCGACATCTTCTATTACGAATATATAATTTAATTTTAAGTATTCATCGACGATTCGCGTGTATTCGTTCCTCAAAATCTGATTGGCGTTGAACTTTCGCTCCAACGTTAATAAGCGTTTAAATGCAACTGTTCGCGAGTCGCCGAGACGCTTGTTCGTTTCGCGAAACGGTAAACGAACCGTATAGCGTCCGAGATTGTCGCGAGAGACTGTGTTCAAAAAATGTGTTTCACATCGATCTTCCTCCTTTGATCTCAGTTTATTCGTCGTAATCTCCTCGAGCATCCAGAACTTATTTAATTGCGACTCTAATTTTGTTAAATAGCATGTTTCATTTTTTAATGATAATTGCGGTGCCACACTCCCTGCAACCGCTCAGCCCAAGCGTGTTTTTTGCAAATATAAGTCATGCTTTTTAATGTGATAAATTAATTTGTCCGATAGATAATAATGATAATGTCGCGCCGGAACCTATCAACAAGTCAACGGCGCGCGGTAAATGAAATTCTGGATCCGCCAATCGGATATTTCGAGGTAATTTAATTGCGCTTTGCGGAAAAACCTCGGAAGGAATCAAATCTGCCACGGCTGGTATCGTCAAGCATGTCAAGCTCTTGCTAAAATCGTCGTGCGTTGATTGTATGATGATCTGTACTAAGCCTTTCGATACAGTATTCATTGCGTTAATTGCGCCGAATGTGGAATGATTGACAAATGTAACTTCTTTATGATACGTTCGGAAATGAAGTTAGCGGTTGCACATGTATCTAACAATGCACGACATTTAATAGAACCGTATTGCCCATCGCGAATATATACCATGACACTCATCCACAATTGTGGTTGTGATTTAAGATGATATAAGACATGTTGATCTATTATCTATCGGATTGGCTAGTCATGCTGAATGAACCGTCTCTTGATTCGTTGTTTCAGTTTTCGTCACGTCAGACTTTGTCGTAGTTGTTAGATCTTCGCGATGCAACAATGTATTGTGTCTTTTTAGGCAAATCGTGCAACCAGAAAATTTGCATGGACGTTCTCTATGAGAGCGTAAGCAATTGTAACATAATTTCGCGTTCCTGACGGCCTCAATGCGCTTAGGTATAGATAGCTGCTTGAAATTATGACATGAATAAAGAGGATGCTTCTTAATTTTACACATTATACAATTACGTGATGTATTTAGTACAAACGCCCTTTAATCGGAGGTTCGCCTACGGATTTTTCCGATCCCGTTTTTTATTTCTCCCGCTTTGACGCGCACACGGCAGTTTTATATAGAAATTCGAACATTTGATCGAGTTTCGGAAATTCGTCCCTCTCGAGCGTATTTTCCCATTTTTCTATTGTGGATTTTGGTAGTTTGCTCTCCAACACGTGGACGACTATCTCGGGGGTCACGGTAACTCCTAGCGCGGCGAGGGACGTTATATGTTGCTGAGCGTCGTACGCAAGCTTTGACAAACCGCTTGTGCTTTCCTTGTCTAATACGGGTAAATTCAATATCATAGAGAGATGTCTGGATATCAAAACACGTTTAACCTCGTATGACCGTTCTAATAATTCCCAAGCGTGAGAATAATTAACTCCGTCGATAGCAAGAATTTTTATTTTGTTCGGGGCATCGCCAATTAAAGCTGCCTTTAAATAATGCAGCTTGTCCACGTCGGATAAATCTGCATGTGTACCTATCATATTAAAAAATGCGTTTTTAAAGGACAGCCAATCCTCAAATTTACCGTTGAATATTGGTAAGGTGGCTTCCGGTAGTTTAATCAGACATTTTTTACTGGCTGTCGCGGATTCTACGTTATTGACTTGAGATTCGTTACTCGGTGTATTCGATGCATCGTCCGGATTTATCACGCTTTCAATTCTTCCCGCGAGGGAATAATAACGATCTTGAATATTTTCAAATTCGACTTGATGCGCATCGTTCGGATCTAAAACCGCGAGCTCATTATTGTATTCCTCGAACGCGCGATATAACTCAGATAAACAAACGCTTCGTAATTTTAATGCGGTTTTATTGATTTTATCTTCATCGAGAAAACTCGCTAAATTAGTTATTTGAGAATTTAACGCCGTTCTTTTTTGAACGAGGAGCTGAACTCTATCGACCATCGTGTATGAAATATGTATAATATGGAACGACTCACTCTTAGTTGATTAGAAATATATACACTCACCGCATCTGATCGGGTTGAGCCGGCCCTCGTGTCGTAGTTCTTCCTTTTTCGATTCACCAGGGGTTCTTCGTAAAACGTACGCCAAAGATTCTCGTAAATCACCTTACAAGTAATCCGTACTGCAGGCAGTCCGAACGCTTAGGATCTTTCAGACCTCACAGGAGGCACCAATGTATCGTGTTCAATGTGGATAACATGAATATTCACGCTGCAGTTTCGTGTAATTTTATTTATAATTAATACAGAACGGCTGTTGTTCGTGAGACTTTCGTAGATCGACTGACTGCGCTGGTACGGTTCGCTCTTATATATGCT